TGTGCCCGGAAAGTTGCATTTAGGTTTTTATTTCCATCCCTCATTTAAAGCTATATGAACGATCTCAAAAGGAAGATATACATTTCATCAGGAAAAATTCCTGTGGAATCTCTATTGATGATTGATCGGACGTAAAACTGTCGCACTCGTTGTCGAGGAGGGATTATAGGCTTCGTTTATGCTCGCTTCAATACCGAGCTACAATTTCCATCCAATAAATCCTTGTATCAGGATACGCAAACTGACGGTGAGGTCGTTAATTAATATTAATGAGAATACTTGAATAGTTGCGCCGCACTCAAAATAAAATGTTTGGAAATTTCAAGCGTTCATTAGTTTATCGTCAAAATTCCCTGCATTGCATCAATGCCCGATTATATGGCACTGATTGTTCGATATTTGATACCGAATATCTGTGTTTAATACGAGCTGAATGCCATTTATGAAGATACCTCACGGCCTTAACTGCAATTTATTCGAATACATATCTTCAATAACTACCAAATAACCACTCCGTAAATTGATTAGTTAACAACGATTAATAATAACTGAAAAATTGAAAAAGAGGGCTATTGTCAGAAGTTAATAGGTCATTTGTTGCAAATGAATTCTTTTTCTAGTGTGATTTAAATTCTATAGTTGCGAATTCACCGTTGACACTATTACAGGCATTATTACACAGTCACTGAAATACTCGCTGTTATCAATTTAGCATATTACTGTTTCTATCATTTTGCTTGTCTTTGCAAATTAATACGGTATAAATTTAAATTTTCTTAGCAGATCAGTTACGAATTAAGTTTGAATACGCAAGTAAATATAGTTAAAATTTGAAGTTAAGTTAAAATTTGTATATTTTTAGTGTTTAAAGGTGTCAGTAGCATTTCGTTATTTCCAAGCTCCGGCTCTAAATTTGCATGATGCGCTCGGCCTGCTCACTGATCGTAAAATTCTTGCGAATTGCCCATTGAACTCGCCATTAACCCCCCACGTCCCTTCATTCTTGATCGTGCAATTCAGGAGTTCTTGATCGTGAAAACACAATATTCAAGAACTTGCTGTACGCATATGATCACTTGACTGTTTTGCGATACCATTGGTCGCCCAACCAGGTCCCACGTATAGCCTTTTCATTGCCGTGAACCTGGCATCTCTTTCGTCGTTCGAAAAGAAGAGTTGTTTCAATGCCGATATTTTGCTTTCGATCTCTCAATATTCCCAGCGATCGAAAATCGACAACCGATATTATGAGCATCTCGACAAACGTTGACTGTCGTTTTCGACTCAGAGCTCGAGCTTTATTTCTCCATTGCTCCTTCTAAGTCGCCATTTAGGAGACTAAATGACTCGCTTCTCGACTTACTTTAAATGCAGCTATTTTAAATTGGTTACTATTCTTCTGCTCGTCTTATGAGACAATTAGAATTTAAGACTATCTCATAGTGAGATAGTCCTTCTATCATAGAAAGACTACTATCATTTTAATAGTCATAGTCTTTCTATGAGACTATTAGAATTTAAGCTTCAAACGCCTCCAAGAAACAACAATAAAATTTCGTTATCTAAAAATCTACAGTAATTTAATTTCTTGTATTAAATCTACCTTAATTCCAGGAATCCGAATCCACTTGATTTCGATCATAAATAAATGTACGCTTAGTCACAATTAGTTTTAAGATTTCGCTTCCTGTAGTTTATGAATAAAAAGATTATATTTGACTATCACTAATACTTATAGCCGAGCAATTGCATCATTCACATTAATTTTCAACATTAGGGAACAAAACGAAATTTTAAATTTCATGAAAATTTCGGCAGCTGTACGTTGCAAACGTAGATAGGAAATGATATACTTGTATTGTGACTGCAATGAGCAGGAGAGCTGGCACACTTTTTCCAGTATAGACATGCCAGGCGTTTGAAGTTCGTCCTAATCAAAAAGATTAAAGCATTCTCGGTGGTCGGCCATCGGCCGTCCACTTGCCACCAATATGCCTGCCTTGAAATTAAAGTGAAGAGTGAGCTCTTCACTCGTCTTCTCGTATTTGGTCGAACGATTTCCTTTCCTGCCTTCTCCACGTGGCTGAGTCGCTCAGGGCAACGAAAATGCAAAGTTTTTTCAAGCGGCCACTTGTGTCGCCTCAGCGACCCTGAGCTCAAACATCTCCAGGGCATAGTCCATGTTTTTCCTGCCATCAAACGGATGGAATATCCCTGAATACAGTTATCATGATATTATGGCTTATTAGATCTAGAAATTTCCTACGAGTATATGATCCTGTATTTGCACATGCAATATCGAGTGTCAATAAGCTACTATCTTACTTAACGCGTTAGCTATTGTAAATTGAATCATTAACTGCAGGATTTAATTTTGCGTTTCATATATTATCGTTCTATTAAATTTCGTGAATTTCTAATATTTTTCGCGAATTCAAGGTGATTGTCTTTACTACTTCTCGAAATGTGAGAGCAAAAATAGTTTTATCTTTAATTATTTCAAAATTATTGATAAATCATTGGTTAACATTTTTATCCGTGTGTCATCAAACTCGCGCAACAGCGGAAAACAAATTTTCAATAAAGTCGTGCCAATTGAATTCAGTTTTTATTTATTATTGCTGTTTGATACAGCACAAACAAAAGAAAATCTTTTCGACATCCATCATTTGATTTACCCTCGGTCACTCTTTTATAGACCAGCAAATACGTGAGGGCATGATTTGTTCCTTCATATGTGGGCAAGTGTCAGGTCTCGCCGAGCGCCCCTCTTCTTGTTATGTTGTCCGCCCCTTGGAAGACCACAACTTCCGGCTCTGCGACTTTTATTGGCATTTGGCCGTCGCTAATTGAGGTCGCCTTCTGTTTCTCTGCTGAACTACAGACTATTGCATCGAGTTTACTTTCTCTTTGTAGAGATATATTGGTGTTGCGCGCCATGGAGTTTGGCATGAGTACAGCAAATGGGGTTAGCGGGATGTCGGATGTTTTGTTGAAGCAGCGCTGAAGAGAACAATAGCAGGTAGAATTAGTTGGTGGGAATGGGTCGAAGGAACTGAAAATTGTGTGAAGCAATCATTCATTTTGTTGAATTTGTTGCTGTTCAAATATTATTGTATCGTATTATAATATTATAGGATTATATTATGTTTTCTCAAACCGTTGCCCAGTGCTTCGGAGATGCGGAAATTTTCAATTCTTTTGCATACATTTTTGCCTATGTGAATTGTTAAGATCCTTCACAGACGATCTCCACGAGACGTCACTTCACAATCCACGTACGGTCATCACCTACATTTGGCACTATTTAATCATCATTAGTAACATCGCAGTCCAATATCGACGGCAATTAAGCACGAATCTAATAGCTTCAATTCGGAACTCCCTTCGTATGCAGCTCTGAATTCAGTATAATCACTTGAAGCGAGTGATCTGCGTAGGTCGTTTCCAAACTTTCGGTACTCGCCTTACGTTCACTGAGACTGACTGGCGGTATTTGAAATTTTTATTTACTTACATCTTATGGCTCGTATACTTAATTGTTAAGTTGACGCACGCGTATCAATTATTGAGGTCTGAAATAACGAAGCATCAGTTTGTCAATTTTCCATTCTGGATCTGAGGAAAGGCGCTTTCTTTGAAAAATGTCTATAACTGATCAATTAATATTACGTCAAATAACAATTTGATCATTGATTTTTTTAAATATTCAGTAATATTTTTCATTATTTGTTTTTGCTCTGTAGCTCATTTTTGTGTCAGTCAAGTGTCATATGCGGCGCTGTTGTAGCTCACGTGGACAGTTTTGTGTCAGCAATTAAAGTGTCGAATGTAGCACTTCTGTAGCCCGTATATCAGCCGTCCTCGCGACACACTCGTGTCTGTGGCCGTACTTCTTTGCATAAGACGATGGCTCCGAAGGCTGTAGACCCAGACACGCTTTACGAGATCTGATTTGCTTATAAATTGGAGCTCAACCTTGCAGGGAGCTCTCCACGACACGTCCAGCGGGTGCCTCAGTGGCTACAAATGACTTCTGATGCCGACTTCCCCTAAAGAATGTTAACGTGGCCGATGAGTGTGTTGACGTTTATCACTTATACGCCTAATGATCACCAGAGAACGAAATCCAACCACGTGTTTCGTCATTTTCAAATATGTCACCAAAGCCCTTGTTTAAAAAATATTCTTATTTACGAAATTTTGGAAGGCCTAAATTGGGTAAATATTTTGAAATTGTTTATTCGCTGATGTTATTAATTTTTTTTTAACATTCACCGAGGGTTGTACTTCTGCAGCATAATATTAAATAATTAGTGGCTTAGGAATAATTATTAATGTAACGAGAAATTTCGTGTATATGGATAACAAAAATCGTGATGGTGGATCAATATATTAAATTTTTTTCTTTTAAAGGCCTCCCACACTCACCATGCCAACAAAAAGGAATTAATTTTATTTGTATATTATTTGTATATTATATTATTATTATATTAACGCTTGATAGAGATTAATGTATTACATATAATATGTGCCACATTATAAAGGATTTTTTTGGACAATATTAACGGATTCAAGAGCCTTCATTACAATTAAATTCAAAGTAATATTTTTTTGTTACATTTTGAATGACGAAGACTTGGTTATAATTTTTGTTACGCCAGGTTATAATTTTACGTCAGTTAGAATATATCTCTAGGTTCTCGGCCTGTGGCCATTTTGCACTCGTTTCTTTAGATTTTCCATATTTTCGTTCTGAATAAATATTTCTGCAAGCATTTCGATAACCACACCCCAACTTGATCCCTCTGCCATTAGATGAGGTATTGGAGGCCATATATCGTAACTGATGATATTAATAACTATTACTCTTTACGCTCACCACCTTGTTGTTAGTTGCAGGGAAGAATTTTTTATCTAGACACACATTATACATGATAATAATAATTCCGCTAATTTATAGCATAATCATCACTTTAATCTCGTTTTGTTCTCTACAGGTAGACATGTGTCGTCCTGACCCATGTCCGCAGAGCCGCGTGTGCCTGGACAAAGGCAACAGCTACTCGTGCGAGTGCCTTGCTGGGCTGCCTGAAGACGACTGTGGTCCACATACAAAGGTGCGGAGCAAAGACTACCAGACTGCATGATCTACCAGACTATCATTCAGAGATTGGTTATGGTACGAACAATCCCTACAGTTAAAGCAAACAGTAATGATACGCTTAAGCTACGTCACATGGCTAATAGGCATAAAAGTGTGGTGAAGTATCATTCAGTGATTTGTTATGGTACGAACGATACCTGCAGTTAAAACAAACTGTAATGATACGTCTAAGCTACGTCACTTGGCTAATAGGCATAAGAGATTGGTGAAGTATCATTCAGTGATTTGTTATAGCACGAACGATACCTGCAGTTATAACAAACTGTAATGATACGCTTAAGCTACGTCATTTGGATGGTACGCATAAAAGATTGGTGAAGTAAGCTAACGCTCCACGTTTGCCGCATAATTTTTATTTAAATAATGAAATCAAAATTACATAAAAATCATAATCGTCCAGTTTTATTTGGCACAGGAAGTAAACCTGTGGCTGAATTATGAATATGAATATTATGTTTGCTTTATAAAAAAATACAGTATTTACGTATCCCTGCCGCGCCCAAGCAAAATTCTGAGAAAATATTTATCAAGTTAGAAAAAAAAATTAAGTTTACATTAGACATGCAAATTTAACACATAAATTCTTGTCTTTCTGATTTTTAATGGGTTAATAGAGAGGAGAATCCCCTCTCCTAGGCATTGTATTCCAATAAATAAAATTATTTCTTATAATTATCACAATAATCTAACAACATCGATGGTCTGAATCAGTAATAACGCTACCGTTTTATGTGTTCATCAATAATTTTGGCGAAATGGACATTGCACTGTGATACTATTGTTCTAGATAGACAAATTCGGCACTAAAGTTTGCCCAAGGAAAGGGCAAGGTTTGCCCACTCTGCCCAAGGAAAACATTTTACGTCAAAAATAATTGTCCCTGTCGCAAATAAAACAAAATGGTTGAAAGGATATTTCACGACATTCCCTTGCGTCACAACATGAGGCCGAACATATTACGAGTTCGCCTTAGTTAGCAATTTTTGTGAATCTAGTTCGAAAAAAAAATTATTCAAGCACAAGATGAAAACATCTAAAATTCTTCAAAATGTTTCCAGGTTTGATAACGTAGTCATGGATAGTTTTTAAACCATTTTAGTACCATATAGACCATATATACCATGAATGAAATTGGGTTCTTTTTCTCTGGATGTGTTTAAATAATCAAGACGATAACGGGACTCGCACGCATAAAAGTTTGTCTCCGTTTTTGCCTTAAAGAATTTATCACGAAAATACCGATTTCTTCGTTGAATGCAAAGAGTAGCCTAATTGTTTCAAGAAAATTCAAGAACAATAAATATTTACATGAATAGAACGGCAAACCCACTTGCTGTTATTTCACACCGGTATTATATTATATCAATCAAAAGTCAAAATATGTATGAACATTTTTCTCGATCACGCCGAATCATACCTTTATCCAACAGCAAACCCATTTGCAGTTATTTTATACCGGTATTATATTTTATCAATCAAAAATCAAAACATATATGGACATTTTTCTCGACCACGCCGAATCATACCTTTATCACCAGTATTTTACGAAACTGAAGCTGGTCAGCTCAAAATCAAATTTTGTTCCCCTGATGCAACAATTGATAACTTGGACTGACGCCGGATCTCTAGGACGCCCGACTGACACTGATCACATTGCGCACAACACAATCTCTGTTCCCTGACCAGAATCGCTGCCTTAGGTTTCCCTTCGATTCGTTGATGAAAGGAGCCAGTAATTTACTGCAGACGTGGCCGTATATTGAATTGATAGATTAATTGATTCAGGCGACATTCACAGGCTTCCATAATAAGGAGCTTGGTTGGTTTAATCTGTGACGTTCACATGGTCTGCAATGCTGGCGAAAGCTTCATTCTCGTCGATGTCCTTGCACACATTGTGCAAATATATTATTTTGTGATTCATATATTCCACAGTATATTCCGCAGGTTAAACAACTGTCTTAAAGTAATATAATTTTTACTGTTTGATTAATTCAAATTCAATGTGACACAGACTTTAATAACTGTGACGCACTAATGCCTTTTTTAGTATATTCCACACACTATCCACAGTATATTCCGCAGGTTAAACAACTGTCTTAAAGTAACATAATTTTTTCTGCTTGATTATTTCAAATTCAAGGTGTTACAGACTTTAATAACTGTAACGCATAAATGCCATTTTTATTTATGAAATATCCTTGTGCGGTAACTGAATTTTTACATTATTGAGTTACATCACCATCACTTCATCATAAATTTAAAGACTCCTGCATTTGGTTGTCTCTCCAGTGAGCGAGTAATGTAATTTATAAAAAACTCTACATTCTAAATGTTAGTGACGAAAAAAGAAAATATAATCGAACCAGTTTGTGCTGTTGAACGACTGATACAGTTATATAAAATATAATTAGGTATATGTGCTGAGACATAAATAATTTCAGATCGGTTATTGATGTTTTTTATGTTGCAGGTTTGTGACTCAAACCCTTGTCAAAATGGAGGCACGTGCTGGAGCATGGCAGAGACATGGAGCTTCTTCTGTGCCTGCCGACCAGGATTCACGGGCGGCATGTGTGAGGGTGAGGGTGTACATCTTCACCATCATCATGTTTATTGGTCTTGCATTACTAAATCTTCGTAATTTCTTGGTGTAATTTCTAAATTTGTCTTGCATTTCTTGGTGAGAACCGGGTTGTATTTATACCCTTCAGTTCAACGCTGCGACGGTATTTTTCAATACTTTACCCGGCATTGTTTACACGAACTCGGACGTATTGTATGTTGCTCTATCTATATCTTCTTGGAGGAAAGTAGATGTAAGAAAACGATTACAATGATAGTGCTTTTAACTGGTACAAATGATCTCAGGACGACCATAATACAAATAATGAATAACCGCAACGCATTTCATGCGGCAATTCCATTTGTCTTGTCATCGTCCGATACTATTTGCTCTAATAAAATTTTGAGTCAATTAAAGATCTAATCTGTGCTGCAGCTGCCGTGATCAAACTGTATTTTAATTCACTTCTCTGCGAATTGTATTGCATTGTAGTTACTCATTATTGAGGCACTCATCCTTATTTTCCCAGTAGTATATATTATATTCCCAATATTCCCAATATATATATTATATTCTCATATTCCCAATATTAAATATTGTTCAACGCTCTACACAAGAAGATGCTGCAATATATACAATATTATTATCCTTAGAGCTGCAGGTGCTGGAGACCGTAGGTAGCATGGGCACCTTAGACCCTCCGCTGCTGCACGACGACCAGCCTGCTCCTCCGCTGTCGACGCTACCGTTCGGTGACGTGCATAACGTCTACGTCGCTGCCACCGTCCTCTCCTGCGCACTGCTCATCTTCGCTGTTGTGGTAACGCCATGCGAGCAGCAGAATATGTTTTGATTTTATTCCGGGACTCCCGAGTCCATAGGCATCAAGTTTTTGCGGGTTCAAATTATTTAAGTAAATAATGAATGTTTTACACGTTGTTTTTGGCTGCTGTTCAATTCTAGTTTTTCTGTGTTTTTCAGACTATACGCATGACCTAGATTAAAAAGTTAGCTGTAGCTTTATACATTTTGAACTGGATTTAAAAATTTCACCATATCGGTAAAAGAAACACTAAAATAATGAGGCCGAAAATGTACTCGGTTTAACCAGGTTCATAATGAATTCAATTATTTCCGAGTTCTTTCCATTGAATTACTGGAAGTCATCTATTCTTAACAGGTATAAAGTTATGTAGAACTGAATAGTCAAAAGCGTACTGCCTCAGAAATAAGAATTACATTTTACAAACTTGTCAGTCATCGTTTTTTCTGAGCAGAAAAACAGTCCACGGAAATTGAATCGAACATTCAGTTAATTCTGCAATTGCCAAAATTTCATTGAAATTCACATTTTGCTACTCAGTAGCCTACAAAGACTGAAATGGATTTTCTCCTCCTTACAAGACCTATACAATTCTTATATGACTATTTTTACGCGAACGAAATCTGTTTTATGCTTTCACAAAATTAAAAAAAATTATGAAAATTTACAAAATATTGAAGTTGATATTAAAAAAGCATTTGATGCACAATTTTTTCGAAGTTTCTTATGTATTCAGGTTGGCGCTTGCCACTGCCGCGTTAACAGAACCTACCGCAAGTGTCTGGTTGCAATGCCGTGTGCCGGTCGAGACCAAACTCCCTGCAGCCTCCGCAGGGCCAGACACAACAACCTACTGGAGAAAGCGAGGTTAGAGAAGCGTAAAATGATTAAATAGTTGTAAGATTTATGCATGAATTGTAATAAAAAATTTAATATTAAAAATCATTTATGTGCTCGTATCTATACGAAGAATAATGGAACACTTGTTTCTCAATAGCACCCATACCATCCAGACTGCAAGCGTTAGATCATATACATTTCTTATCACTTGTATTCAAGCTCGTTGAGTTTAAATTTAAATTAATTTTCATCAGGAAGGTTTCAACATAAGTATCCTATATTACTTCGTCAAATGCTGTCTCGCTCAACAAAGTACCAATGTTGGTCCGAAACCACACGTTGGTCTCTGAAATCCAACACACTGTGAAATTCACTGAAATTCTTTGCACAGGAGGGAGCGCAACAGCGTGCTACGTCTCGACGCAGACTGCGACGGCTCATCGCTACCGATGACATCACCAGGCGCCTCGTCTGCCGACAACATATTTTACAACATGGATATGTGTGACAACCAAGAGCTGCCGCTTATTAAATAAGTGGTACCTTACTTATACCGAGAAAAAGTTATATTATGTCTTTTTTGCTCATGCATACGTCATAGCGTATCGAAGTGAAATGCACATTTCAATAAATGAGAAAACTAAGCCAGTATTAGGTTTTTCGATTTCTTCACTCAGATGGCAACCATTTTTAAATTATTCATTTGTATACAGTTGGCTGATATTATTGAATGAAAACATATACCTATTTGGCTTCAATTTTCAACACAATGCTGTAGAAATTTTTTCCTCCAATCTCAATCGTAATGAAGATTTTATCGTTACTTTCCATTCGTGCAAGAAGAAATGATAATCATGACGGACATGAATCTCACAGGGCACAAAGAACGAACTCAACAATAATGTTTCTGGACTATTGACATCATATGACAAAAGTTGCATTTAATAATGCATAAAAAACTTCCAATCAGCAATCTGTAATCAATTTCAAAATATTCGCACATAGAATCCATTTCGACGCTTCTGATGATAATTTCGATAATTAATGTGCCACATTTATATTTTGGATTCAATTTAGTCTTCCGGTTATTCGGAAGCTTATCAAGGTGCCAAAATTAGTGAGCCTGTCTTCCCCGTCACTTCACAATTCATAAAGAATTACGGGAAATGCACATCATAATTCATAATAAATTCAAAAAGAATGTAAAGTCCTCACATGCTGTCAGCAGCAGGCTTACTCAAACTGAATGAATTTCTGTGAGCATTCAGAAATTAGGTCGATACATTTATTCAGTTCTCACACATTAATTAAATACTACATTTATTCTTTCACAAACTCAAAAATTAAGAATTTCAGCATATTATGCATAAGTGGTTTCCACGTAGATTCATTGTCTTGATTTATTTCAAATTCCCCCAACGAAAATCCCATTTATATTTGAATATTTTCTAACATAAATATATTTTGTATAACCAGGTTGGCAACTATTCGAAATCTAAAATATGCTCGCAGCTTTGAATGGTTTCAACTATCATATTCGCTCATATTAGGCTGTTCTCGCCTGCCAAGTACAATGCTAATCTATGATTTAAATAATAATTGATTGTATTTACAAAGAAGATATCCACTGTACTTTGTAGGACTTGTTGATCTGAAAGTTAAAGCTATTCATGTTTCAAACGCATGTTTTGGCATGTCAGGAGCACATTTTGAAAATTTTATACAATTCAACGCATGAATTGGAATTTTAAGGGCGTTTAGAAAAATGACGAAGAATTTTACAGTATTTCTTTATATACTAAAAAGGTTAGGTCTCGCCATACCCTGTGAAATACTTCCATTCGTTATCCTACATTTCATTCAGTCCAATCAATTTATCAGTTTGTGTGTTTAAAATACTGAATAAAAAATTACCAGGTAACTATAAATAGTTCTCACCGCTACAGAAAGATGATTATAATCATGATTTCGTCATATTAATGTCATCAATCCAGACCATATATTAGAGTTCTGAAAAATGTAAATAATTAGCTAGTCGCTAATAACTAAACATTGCTAGTATAAGTCGACATTGTTAATCCATTATTTTTTTGAATACCTTGATGCAAAAATTGGATTGCAAAAAAATGATTTTTCTAATTTACAAATCGCATGGAAACTTGGTACTTGAGTAGGTTATATTATCAACTGTCTTCGTACCCAATATTTTTACTCAACAAAGTATTTTAGCAATAAAGTAACATTCAGTTTTCCGTGTTGAAATTATGGTTTTAAAATCCGAAACTAAACTATTAAATTCTAATTATTACTACATTTGCAAAAAATGTGTATGCCTGTGTGAATAATATTGAAATTTCACCATCCTGTCAAATTATGAAGTAAAATTTTGGATATTGCGGGAATATAGACATTATTAATCTGAGCTAACATGAAGCATTTGTTTAAGTGTTCAAAATTGAGCATGGATTCTTTCGTTATTAGTTTTTTTTCAATCAGAAAGGCTCTGATATTTACCAAGCTTTCATAGAGCACATTTTTATCACATGTTATAGAAGCTTCTTCAATTAAAGGCCATTAGTTTTGTTGACCCCTTTGTTCAAAATATTCCTAGTGAAAGTATTTATTTGTGCCTCCGTTTTTAAGTATAAAGATCAATCGCAGGCTATTTGAAGTTTCTGCGGTCAAGCCACGCATCTCAGTTTCCCTGGCGCAGAGACAAGTATAGCGCTCTATGATTAAGCTTATTATATTTTATTTACTACTATAACTGAGATGGTTAAATATGCTGTAAATAATGTATGATAGAATAGGTTTGCTTCTCTTTCTTCTCGTAGTAATTGCTTCTGTCATGTTATTTCCGCACTACCCAAGCTTAGCTCGCTTACATTAGTACGGTAGTTTGTCCCTTCTTTGTAGGTAAAGTTTACTACAAATGATTCTTAACAAATAAATTAGACTTTGAAGAATCTGTTTATTTCTTTTAACTATTACTAGACTTTTCATTAATAGATTCGATAGATGGAGACCTCAACTTTTATTGATACCAAGCATTATAAAATTTTTTCACAGTTAAGTTCTACTAAATCATTTTAAATTTTATAGTAGTGAATGATTATCGTATCATTGACAGTATCCGTTCATTTAGTGCCAAAAAATACTCATCAATTAATTTCATTTCAATTTCATTTCTTTTTTCATTAATTCATGTCACTATTGTCGTTAGGTACGATTGTGAAATTAGCACATATTTTAGTTGAACTGAATTCAACGTGTGAAGATTTAATGTACGCATGTTGTTATCTCTGACTAAGAGAAATGAAGATGTCAAAATCATGTAGAAAACCAAAATGTGACTGACCTTAATCATTGAATACAAGACGGCTAAAACTTGGGGATGAATCTAAAATTGCAGTTTTTTAAATGAGCAAGTTTTAGACATTTCATTGTCGACTCTAGGACTTTATTCCAAGTCGCAACATACATGGGTACGAAACAGTCATGGAGGACTCTCCAATCTCTCTACTATATATATATATATGCGATATAAAAAATGTTAGCCCGAATTCATTTACGATATTTCAGTTATGAAAGCAACTGCAATGCTTTGATGTGCGTTTGGATGCCCCATGTACAGTATAGGGAGTCATGCACGTCTCGAATCGTGAGCTTTCGGGGGATTCCTTCCAAAAAACTTCGTATGTCTTGCCTTAAATCGAGTCTCGAATCGTCCATTGTTTTGTCATTCCATAATATTTATTATATGTATAGACCATAAATGCTAGAAATACATTTGAAGTTGGAAACTTGTTTAAAATATCCATATATCAGTTTTTACATAGCATACCCCGAGAAAAATTGTTTGGAAAGGCAAAATCAACTGAAACTCCAGTGCATTGTACAGGTTTGTTTGCATGTTCATTGTAATAGCGATGATTAAATGCATTTAAACCAGAGAATCATCTCCTAATTGGGGCTAACGTGCATCAGAGGTCGAGTACAAAAAATATTGGTTGTATATTTTCCTGATACTTTTATAGGAAATTAGCTCGAAATTAAACGCACAAGTATAAAAAAATCAGACAAGCATGAACGTTTGTTAAGGTACCGAAATATTGGGAGCTTTTTTGCTCCAGGATACTGACAACTGAAGTTTGACTGGAACGTCGTAACAGAGATATATACCGATGCTTTGGAGCAAGTGGGAGCTGCCTGCATATCGCTGAAATAAATCTTTAAAAAAATTACATTCCTGTTCAGAAATATTCCAAAATGTTATTTTGTGGCTACTTCCTGACTTATAATAGACCACCCTATTATATTAATTAAAATCCTTACTCACTATTACTTGGGAAAATCATTCGTAATTCTACTAATAATTACTATGAAAAAGTCCCAACAAATGCAGAAAAATCGAGGGTTCTGTTACTCCTGCTTACGGTTTTATTTTTACGCATAATTATTGCAGTAACATGCCGTTCCCATTTCCTGAAGTCCTTTCATGTTACCGAGTCTTCTTGCTACCTTGCATCACTCGCAGCTGAAAATTTTTCACAAACATGGGCCGTTGGTGCCGGCCTAAGCTAGAAGCGCCCTGTCAAAAAATTTCGTGAAATGGTCTTGGTTAACCGTGGCTTACAATGCTGGGGACTTCGATGCTGTATGCTCTATATTTTTGCCTATTAACGCCTTCCTCTTCGTAGTCGAAAGACATAGATTCGCTTTGAGACAGATTGTTGAGACTAAGGATAGAATCCGTTCTTGACTTCCTGCAATTTTGCCGACAAAGATCAGCTTTAGGATCGCGTGCTGCTGAAGCAATTGTCAGCACATTTTTGCACCAGAGGATTTTGAGATGAAGTCAAAATTTGTAAGGCCAAGTTTTTCGTAGTCTGATTTTTCATCAGGCGAAGAAATTTAAGTGTTTTTCGCATAAGAGGATGTCGGGATATCGTCAAGATTTGTACGGACCAGCTTCTCCTTGTTTGAAGGATTTACCAAATTAAGAGGTCAAAGCTCTCGACCCTCGCACAGATGGAAGTTCAGACTTTTCATTTGAGCTATATTGCCTCTACCGATGTCTCATAGGAAAGTTGGAGTCATCCAACGACATTCAAATGGAAAACTTGAATTTCCATCAACATGAGGGTCAAAAGTTCATTTTCTCTCTATTGTGCACCTATCTATTCAAGCTAATTTTTTATCTACTGAATCAACAAATTTTAACCCTGAAATAATTTTTCACTCAAATTCGGCTATAACTTTATGTAAACATTTTTTTTGTACAAATTTTGTTTATGGGTGTTTTTTAATTGGCATAAATATTTTAATTTACAGTCCTATTCCAACTAATATCCATTGTCACATGCTGCTCTGTCTGAAAATTTTTCAGCCTTCTAAACAGGACAAGTGGAGGTTAATTCTAAATTTTTAGTCAAAATAATTGTATTTATTCATGAATGAAGAGATTGATTAATTCAAGGATTTAAGGAAACAACTCCTTGAGCTACCGTGGATTGAAAATAAGTGCTTCCATCCGTATGTTGGCAGTCAAATCTGTGAACCGGACTTGTGAGGAATAACCGGACTTCTGAGAAGTCATTAAAAGTTTGTCTATAATTAAAACTTTTTCACCATTACCAGCATAATTAAACTTTTGGCTGCTATATTTGTAATGCAGATTATATGTACAAACTTATCAGCATAAAAAAACACTCGAATTGTAATTTTCGTGCAAACTTGTTGCAATGTAACAAATTTTCAAACTCATTTATTCACTTAGTTAAAAATGCGATCAGGGCATTGCTCAGCACAGATTATAATTGCTGAGAACCGATAATTATGTGATCATATTTTCTAGCTAGCTTTCTATTTCAATTAATTCAAGTTACGCGAAATAGACAGCTTAAATTCGCCAAAAAATTACACTATTTTAATTATATAAATATAATTTTATTAATCAAACAGATAATTTAAATTAATTTTCAGCGTAGTCCCGTTTAGTGATGCCTAATTGTATTATAAATAATAATTAAGATGTTTTCTTATTGACAGCTGAATTAGTGAATAAAATGGGATCGATTTAAAGCACAATGTAGGATTATAAGCATTAATGGTTTTTAGGAGCATAAAATTAATAATTTTCGCGCCGATTTCATTTTGCCACGACTGTTTTGTCGATGCAAAAATCAAACTCTATTCGTTATTTCTCTAAACATCTTAATATTAGCATTATTATTGCAAGTTTTTCCATATCTTCGTAGACCATGCATTGCAAAATTCAATGCATTTTCAATAGCATGCATCGGCACGAACGAAAGCGGTTCAGTGCTTATAACTCAGCGTCCCTCACTTGCTTAAAGAGCGCCAGGGGCCAAGGGGAGCCCAGCCGTGCGACGCAGACTGAAGACCGAGACCCAGAATTTACGAGCGTCTTTTGGTGAGAAATCATTCCGACCGAAGCAGGAACAGCGGCTTGGCGGTTGAAAAATGTGGAAGATAGTTACATTTTTAAGAAATTAAATTATTGTAAATTGTGAATTACATTTTGTGAATTTTTGTAAATTGTGAATTCTTGTTTTGATTAAAGTTTGGGTATAGTCCTCAGACAGAAGAGCATCGATCGAAAAGAAGAGTTTTCATTTAATTAAAGGACAATTAGTTTTCATCAATCAGTTATTTATAAATCACCTGCATGATGGCCATCAGATCCGATGATCTATATAATATAGAACGTAATAATGTTCAATAATTTCAGGGCAGTTCGTATACCTTCTGCTACAAAAAATTGAAAGGCTAATTTATAAATGAAAACAAACATTTCTTGTTAATAAATTGTTCCGATTGTACACGTATTAGTAAATGTTTTTTCAAAAATCATAACCATAAAAATGCTTGTTCTGAAATTGAGCCCCGCTATTTATTCCTATATTTCCATCTCATTTAGAGCCTGGTGAATTATGCCCGATTTCATTACAAAGAAGCCGGCGGTGAAGCCTCCGTTGATGTTCCAATTAAGGCGCCAACCAAATTCTTTTTCGGTCGGCGCTTTTTCTTCTTATCGTACTTTTAATTCTGCGAACCTGTACAAAATTCACACCGAAGTTATACAAAAATTTGTGACCGTCTTTTTCTCAGTCTCTTCCATCCTGAGATAATAGCAGGAACTACAATTTTAAGGAAGAGTCTGGAAAATTTGTTCAGTACCAATAATACAACACACAGGGTTATTTGTTAAGGATACTGACGAGTCATTATTTTGCATCCACCCTAGTTGTAGAAGTAAATAAATAAAAACGGACATTAAATAAACTTCTATACATTAAATATTTTAATAGGCTTGCTTAGTTGTTTGTTTGAAGCCTCAACAGTAGACTTAGTCTCAATTTTATAGGAGCTCCTGTGTTGACACTGAATTGACTATGAAGTTTAATTTCATTGACTTTTTTCGATAAATTCAAATTTAAATACGACATCAATCAATAAATTTGCATTTGCTCCATGCTTATGATTATGAACAGGGTTTAGAGGAGTATCTTTCTTTATATGTATATTCTAGAATAAGGCGTTAGATATTTACATTTTTTTCTAAGTTATTCGTTCTGATAAACCGTTTATAATAAGATTAAACTTTTGCTTTTCTTTCTCTTACATGTTACAACGAAACCCGAATGATACTGATGAAAATGACGCCGATTAAACTCATTTCTCTGCCCGCTCTCCTTCACCTAAACATAAACCGTTACTTTATATAATCGCTCGCTGGCTCCGATAATCGTCTTCCGAATCGCAGTTGCTTTTAAGACCGGATGATTATCTCCGTTATTCAGGAGACGGGGATCTTTTGAGATCTTTTCGCGGCGGAGAAGACGCATTGCTTCGTTTGCCAATAGATCAATGGAGCTCTGTTGTCTGGAGAAATGGAAATAAAACATACCATTGGAGCTCGCTTACCACAAATGGAAGATAAATATAGTTTATCACAGAAATCACATAGAAATTATTTAGTATCTGTGAGTATTTATGTTATATATGTTTGAATGAATGAATTGATCTTGTTTACAATCACGTTCAATTCCATTCCAAAACAAACCTATTTTTCAATTAAATCAGTTATCTTCCTTAAGTAGTTGCTCGTAGATTTGTTATTATTAGACCCATATTTTAAGTTTAAATCATGAGATAACAAGCACTGCAAGACGGACAGTGAGCATCACGAAATGAAATTATAAGTACTTATATCATTAGTCTGCTTATATCGCAAGTTCACAAGGAATTTAAAAGCAAAGAAAACGCCAAGAAAATTCACCATATCGATATTGAAAACGTTTCGGAGTCCAGCTCCATCATCAGTTCGACTAAACTAAAAATGAATAAAATCACTTAAAAGTCAAAATTCAAAGACAGAAGGTCTTAGAAGAAGAAGAAGGTGTTAGGTCTTGTTTAGGTTTTATGTCTGTCTTTGAATTTTGACTTTTAAGTGATTTTATTCATTTTTAGTTTAGTCGAACTGATGATGGAGCTGGACTCCGAAACGTTTTCAATATCGATATGGTGAATTTTCTTGGCGTTTTCTTTGCTTTTAAATTCCTTGAAATGAAATTAAATATATTAACGTTAATTACATATAGAAAATACTTGAACAAGCGGATGCGCGTATTGAACGAATCTTTAGCTGTGTGCATACAATGACGCAATGCACGCATCTTCGCATGCAATGTAAATTTTTTCATCGACGATTCACGTTGACGAAGAAGCGCAATTAATAACGCGTAATTTTTATTTAAATCAATGTACATTTT